GAAATATTTCTTCGCGGTAGCTTTATCAGAACAACTCTCTATGCTGCGGCAACGTCGTCCAACTTCGTCCAGCTTTATGACTCAGGCTAAACACCTCACAATCACTCATGGGTGCACGATTTGTGGTGGTCGATGATACCCATAGTCCCAAGCGTGATCATTGCGTAAATAATAATAAGAACCCGTCATGACTCGATCATAACAAACCCTCATCCAGCCCACATCCAGCAGAGTACAGCCTTCAAGTGGCTTCTCGTCGTCTTCAATTCCTTCATCCCCATCTCATCGCGAATAAGGCTCCCAGCTCGCATCGATGGTGTTGACAAATCCCTCATTGTTGATCGTATGTTCCTCTGGTGGCGGTGCTTTCCGAGGTAGCTCCATGGCTTCTTGTATGAAGATGAATCCCAATGTGAAAGAATATCAACTGCTAATCTCTCTGATGCATTATTGCTTTATTTAGATAATGAGTGTAGAAGCTGTTATTGTTAATCTGCTCTGCATCATTACAAGTATTTACATAGGCCCAAAAACTTAATCTGGCTTAGCTTCCATTGTCAGGAGATCTGCCAATATTTTGTGGGGCAGTATCATGATGTGCTCATGCGCTAGTCCGTATAGAGTATAGACAATATATAGTCTCCCACTTTTGGGTGATGTCACTGATGCTGGTGGCGACTCAAAGCATATTTTGAACTATCGCCCCTTATTGTTTTTGATCATGGACTCCACTCAGGCTCAACAATGAAATGAATCCCAAAGAGAGCCAGAAGCCGTTTGCAGAAGTAAGTTTGACCAGTCCCACATTTGCACACTTTAATTCACTTCTTTGTCTACTTTAGTCGCTCGCAGAGGGCGAAAAGCATCTCCTCAGCATTTATGGGAAGTTACCTCACAGAGGGCTACTAGGCCCAGGGTCTACGGTACTTTCCTGCTTCATGGATAATGATCATATAAAGACAATGTCTAACAGCCAAAGCATCGGACCTACTTCGACTCTGGTGACTATGCTCTTGCTGCAGCTCATAAAGTGACGGATGAAGGGACTATTCAAACTGGAACAGCCCATCCGTTGCGAGAGAGCATTCCACATCCCTTTGCCCCCGTCCCAAGCTCCGGTAATGTCGCTGAAGATGCCAACAGGGACTTACATAGTAGGAGGAGTTCAAGTCCTGAATAGGGGAAAGATGAATTCGACGTCTGGATTGCCATTATGCCTTGTCTTTTCATGGAGACTGGTTTCATTGGAAATTGCCAACTGAGGTGAGAGGTAGGAGTCATTAAGCCATAGATGGTCATGTGCAGAACCATCGCCATATGGCTATCTTCCAAGTCCGACTTGCAAAGTGATTTAATGAGTATGTGAGTATGTGATAAGGATGGTCTGTAGCATGTTAGGCCGATAAAGTCAGCTTGTCCTAGCTCAAAATTTGATTCAAGCAGGAGTGAAATTTATGGATAGCACTCTTAATATGTCCTTCAAGCCACTCGTTATAAAAGCCGGGAATTCCACGCCAATGGAGCATATGGCTGTTCTCGACTACCCTTGATAGCGCTCAGCTGACCCAGTCTGCCTTGCGCTCCTTGTTGAATGTTCAGCTACGAATCATTGCACGCTTTCCGAAATCTTGTGAGCTTGACGCAAGAATACCGCAACCGTCATTAAGCTGAGGACTGTAAAAGTTTAAACCGCCGAGCCACCAAAGGATCAGAAGAGTATGCGTAGGTCGACATCCTAACAGTTCGGCAAGCGAAATGATTCCAATCGACTATTCTAGACCTGGACCAACCTGAAACTCTACACTTCTAATCTGAATGTGGAATTTCTGTAACTATTTTGTGGTAGTTCCGTCATGCATCATCGCGCGTCATCAGACTCAACATCTAGACTGGCCACCGAGGCTTTAAAATATCCTTACACTGCTATTGGAATCTGGACCAAGTAATACTTAGTTCAAGCACTCCACACAATTCTACCTTACTATTAACACATTGATAAACTGTCCAGTGCCTCTTCAATATGCCTATTGACGATTACGGTGTTTGGAAGGCATATCCTGTGCACTACGTAGTTGAACATGACGAAGACGACTCACGGTCCCCGCATCTCTCATTGTATTATGACGACAGTGGGAAATATCGCAAGGAGGGCACTGAGGGCAACCTTCGCCGGACGGGGAAGGAAATTACTGGGCTTTTCCGAGCTGCAATCAATATCAAATCCGGCGACAAGAACGACTCTCACCTCGTGTATTGGGTAGATCACGAATTCAACCAGCATCCCATCATCGACCGGCTCAGAGTTCTAGAGCCAGGATTCCATCTACTCGAAGATACGAAACCAAGCCCTGATGGCCCAAGGATTGACTTTATCCGGAGTAACTTGTTCAATGTTAACAGCGGCCGGGTTCTGCCACATGACGTTGAGGGCCCTGATAACGATATTATCGACGTGCTGGAACCTGAAGTCCGTCAGGCGATTGAACACCGCGCTGAAGTATATGTGTTTGGTTCGCGTTTTAACACAAGAGACGGAATCCATGATGTCCATATGAACCAGGGCAACAAAGGGCACTGGAAGGAGGATGACGGCATCTTTCAAGACGGAGCTCTCTTAATTCATTTCACGAATCCTGACCGATGGGTTGGTGTTTTCCTCGGCTTCGCATCCCAAGCAGCCCACACCGATGATCGGACTGGACATGCCATATCATCGGAGAGTTGGAGTGACTACCTTAGTGACCAAAGAGGGGATACTGGTCTTATTGAGAATTCCGTGGCAATCAAAGAGGCAAACATCAAATCTCCTGGACCGGGTGGTCCGACGGAAAGACGAGAATCCGTCACTCTCACCAACCTCACGAGCAAACCACTCTCCCTCTCGATGTGGCAGATTCATAACTCAGCTGGTCAAATCCAGGTTTTACCCCCTAATGCAGCATTGGACGCAATGGCAACAAAAGCTTTCGAGATCCCCCATTGTCATCTTTCCACTCATGGCGACACCATTACTCTTGTGAATGAATACGGGCTCAAAGTGGACGGTGTAAGCTACAGCGCCGGACAGGCAAAACCCGAGGGCCAGCCAATTGTTTTTGCTCATTGAGACTCGATAGAGGAACTATTGAAGCCTGTGTGTTTATGGCTTACATGGAATGGGGGCAACAGGATCCAAGATGCACAAGTCATTTGAAGTTCGCATGTTGATATTTGTTCGGCCGCCGCAGCCTTCCTTAGAAGTTCCTTGGCGAGTTCTTACAGTCCAAACCTATATAATATAGGTTGAATTGGCTTCTAGCCCGTGACACTATCGTTCTTGCAAAAACTATGATCTATATGCTGCACATGAGAAGCAACTTCAAAATAAGAAGCAATCTAGGAGGCAGATAGAAGCTGCGGAGGGATTCTCTATCCACGAAGGGTAGTAGTTCATTCAACACAGGGATCGGGCTAAAGATATCCCAACTATCCCTGTGGAGTAGGCAGTAGATGCAGAACAATGCCTTCAATGGGCACCCCCGCGCTGCAGTGACTGTCATAATATAGGCCATAAGCGATTGCAATGTCCGCAGCGCAAGAATATCTAGTTTTAGTAATATAATCATGTTTTAGGTGTTCAAATACCCTCTAATTTTTCTAAGGTTTAGTGTCCGCTCAATTGTGGATTACGTTAATGGTAAAAAATCAGATAAATCAGCAAATTATCCAGCCGAAAAAAAAGGAAAGTCTGGGCGATCTTATGCAATTGCGGTCCGGTCCGGTCCTTGGTCGCCGACTACAGGACCGGGACCGCACCATTTCGAGGCCTACTGGTTGCCCTATGCATAAAATGACATAGATCCTACTAACAGGGATACCGGAAAAATCCTTAATATAAGCGTATCTTGGCTATTTGGGTTCGAAAAAACAATCGAAGAGTGTAACTGGTGACACCAGTTACGGGATGTACTGTACAGCTGGCCGACAACCTTGAAAATTGTCAGAGATGCTACTGCTACTAGAAATATTACTCAAGTTTGACATGAACCCTCTCAGGCCTGTGATGAGCTAGAGAATAATCAAAACAGCCAAGTATTCTGTTTCTTGCGGAACTGTATAACTGGTTCAAACTGGGGTCTGGCAGTCAACCGTCTTGTGGTACTCATCGTATTCACAGTGTTGGCGATCAGACTTGCACTGTAGATGAAGATTAAATGATAAGAACAGATCAATTTGCCCGGACTCAAAATCGGAATCTACCCTCTTGTTGGCAGCCGAACCGCAATTGAGTACCTGGTTCTTTCCTCCCTTTAGGTGTGTCACGCGTTGTATTTCAAGCTGCATTCCTGTAAAGTGGTGCAGAAAGGGTAGTGTTATCTCTATATAGACGTCTCATAAGAAGAACTTACTCCTCCGAATTTACTAAGCTGTACGCCTAGGGCATCAAGATCGTCCAACTCGGTAGCGGGGGTTGCCAACCGCGCCCATTGCGGCGAAGAGAACAATGGTAATGCCGGTGATCTGCATGGTGGAAGATTGGTCTTGTAAAAGATTGCGGTATAGTAGTTGAGAGAGAAATGGTCTTGATGAGATTGATACTTTACAAATTGGAGCGCCGTGAAGGTGTCTTATATAGACAATGCCGGATACTTCCTGCGATATTTGACAAATACTATCCTCGAATTCGACGCTGTCATCATTGGGGCCGCGGTCGAAAGATAATCCAAGCTATCTAATAAAAGATATGCCTCATATATCCAAAAATCTCAACTTGTCAGGTGGTATGATCTCCAAATTCAGATATTGGACTGTCAGCCTGTCAGAACCTACTCCGAGTACGTTGCTGCCTAGTAGGGGTCCAGGAGGGTCCCCACCCTGGGAGACCCTCATTCAAGTTGACCCTTACAACGATTCAAGGCCCCGTCTGGTTCCACCATATCAACTCTTTCACTTCCCTACTGTCTTCTTTCTCTTACCTGTATTCTAATTGAACCATCATTCAACATTGTCAGCTTTCCAAAATGGACCACCTCCGTGATTCTCTGCTAAGCTCTCTGCCTAGAGACACACCTTCTACCGCAACGATCGACCATTCTCGCAGAGATCAGGAAGGTACACGCCAGTCTGTCGCTCGGGGTGAATTCAAAGAGGTTCGAGACATGGCCTTCAGTAACCGGACCTGGGTCGTTACCAGCCGATACTGCGATATTGGAGATGGTGTAGACTCCCTTGAAGGCCACATTCATTCCCTGTGGTATATGTACTACGAGCTTGGCCGAAACATCTCTTCCGAATCACCTGATCATGAGGGAATAGTCCTCGATATCCTCCGCATTCAAGGAATGGGGCCGTTGACTAGACCTGCACGCGGAGTCTATGGGATTGATATCGCAAGAACCGTCGACGGTACACTGTGGCACGATCTCCCCTTCTTGGTTGGCGATATGACCAATTTCTGGGTCAATCACAGTGCTTCTATGTCGGGAACACACCGTCTCAACTTTGCAACATTCCTGGCTAAACTTGCATCTACTCGTGTCGCTAAGGATAGGCTGTGCCAAGTTGCTCTTCTGATCTTCCGTACTCTCTTTGAAAGCCCTCAAGCACTTCGCACTGGGGAAGAGTCAGACGAGGAAGACCTCAACCGAGGTACCAAGCAGCTTGAGGTCTTTCATCTGTTACCAGCTGCTGTTGCTTGGCTGAAAATAACAAGCCACACCCTCCTTTTGCTATCAGACTTGTATTGGAACGACTGCCCTAGCCACATCAGCAAGGGTGGTGAGGAGTTCCTCGAATCGGAGCTCGGACAGCGATCACCTGCTGGATTCTCGCCATGGAGATACATGTTCTGGCTGAAGCGACTTCATGACATTCAGGAAGAAGCTAAAGAAGCCAATGAGAAAGCCCTGGAGGAGCTTGCCACTGATGGCATCCAGTACATGATCAACACAATCAAGCAAAGGAACGCTGGGGTCCTCAGGGCTTACAAGAATGGTGGCGATGCCTTGCACCAGGATAAGCATCTTTCATGTCTAAAGCCCCTTGCATGCGTTGAGGAGCCAGAGTCGTAAAGACTTGGATGAAGTTTCGAAGGAAAACTCGAAAATGGCATGTAGACATTCCCCCTTCCTCTCTCTTTCTCAGCCTCTTCAGTCTTCAAGTTGAATGTCACTCTCTCTGCTCCTTACTGGCAGTTTTTTATCAAATCTACATCTGCACCGTCTTTTAGAAGATTAACTGCCAAATTATTCATGCAAACCTTTCTTTCCTGGACCCAAAGCAAGTCTTCGCCAAAGTCGTGAAAGGAAAAGAAGTAAAGGAGTGGTTAGAAAGAGGATATGTCAATGGGCAACCCTCTTATTTTGTCATCGTTTATCGGACCTTCATTGACGCTAGGGTTTCACGGAAAGAAAACAAAGAAATCAAAGGCAGTGGAAAAATTACTGCACCTATCAGTGAAGCTCTCAGTGATCCTTCAGGATCTGCTGACCTTCAACTTAAAGGTGGAGGTCAAGGCGCGACTAAAGCAAAGGTGGATACTGAGACCCCTGGTGAGAGTATTTACGCTGTTTGCTATACAAAGGTTACATTAGACTTTCATGATGGCGAACCTAAAGTTAGAACAACTGATCAGTGGGTACCCTTCACAGGGAAAAGGGGAAAAGTGCTCGCGGAAGAGAAATACCTTGAGGGCAATTATCGAGGATAAAGACGAGAGTGCAGGCGTCAAAATTGTCGCACCAATGAAGCAACACAGGTAGTATATGTATTTTGCATTCCCAATGATCTGAGAATCCCAGGTTCCACAGAGTGAAATCACAGCGTTCCAAAGTCACGTCGCGGCAAGCCCTGATTTGGCTCCTAAAGGGACCCTCAGCCTCCTAACTTCATTCGTATAGATACATGAAATAGTTACCCTATGGCTGAGAGTCTCATCTATAATATAGTCTTCTGAACAAGTATTAAAATAGTCATAGTATAATACTATCATAATAGTTCAGCTCCCTGATCTATACTTCAGATATCAGATAGCCTTTTAGACTCCGCCTGTATGGAATGTATCCTGCGCGCTCGCTACTGTATGGATTCGGATTCAGGCATCCGGCGGTGATATTAGCTCAAGCCACTGCATATTCATACTTCCAACTTCTGTCCTGAACATTTCTATATTGCTTACTCGAAATGAGTCAATGCACTTGGCATTGTATTGTTGATTTGTCAAATACGAGATATCCCCACAGTGATTTCAAAGCAACCCTTGGCTGCCAAGCATACAGATATCAAGATGGAACGACATGGAAGAGAGAGGGGTGTATAAATTACATAGAAATTCGCTGAATGCATGCATCAATCAACACACAGATTGATATTCTCTCCTCAAATCCCAATCACAATGTCATCTGTTAGCATCTTTGGCCTCGGGGCTATGGGAAAAGCCCTAGCCTCTCGGTTCCTTGCAGAGAAGTACAAAGTCGCCGTATGGAATCGATCCCCAGAAAAGGCAAGCCCTCTGCTCGAGAAGGGTGCAACACTTTCCCATACAGCAGTGGATGGCATCAACGCAAGCGATCTGATCATCATCTGCCTTCTCGATAACGCCGCCGTCCAAGCAACCCTCGACAGCGCTCTTGACCGCCTCCACGGCAAGACAATCGTCAACCTCACAAACGGAACGCCTGATCAAGCTCGGAAATTGTCTGATCTGATCGTCAGTCACGGTGCTCAATATGTCCACGGCGGAATCATGGCCACCCCTTCCATGATCGGTTCGCCTCATGCTCTCGTCCTGTACAGCGGGTCACCCGATGCATTCAACGCCGCTGAGGCCGATCTCTCGGTGCTCGCCAACTGCGTATTCCTCGGTGAGGATGCGGGTTCCGCGTCGCTGCATGACCTTGCCCTTCTCAGCGGCATGTACGGTCTCTTCTCAGGCTTCCTGCATGCAACCGCTCTCGTGAAATCCAGCACTCCCGCCGTCAAGTTCCTGGACCTCCTGGTTCCCTGGCTGGGGGCAATGACCGAATACACTAAAGGGATGGCAAAGCAGATTGATGAGGGGCAGTATGCGAGCGAAGGATCGAATCTCGCTATGCAATTGGTTGCTGTTGAGAATATTATCGACGCCAGTGCGGCCCAGCAAGTCTCTGCTGATTTTATTCGTCCGATGAAGGAATTTATGGAGAAGGCCGTAGCGGCTGGTCACGGTGGTGATGATATCTCTTCTTTGATTGACTTTGTGAAGTCAACATGACTTGCGCCTGTATGTTAGATTCTTGAGCTTACAGACAATGGGCTATATGCTTCATCATTGTAGCCTTTAGACCTCTGATTTGTGGTAGTTATATGAGCATTTAGCATTGTAGGATCACTGTGGAGTGAACAAAATTGGACTTCATGCAGATTTTAATAACAAATATCATTGATTAGAAACAAAGAAACACTAGAGTAAAACAGGAAAAAACAGACTATAACTTTCTCAATCTTTTCATGTCATTGGACACGTGTACTAGTCCAGACAGAAGCCATGTAAACACGAGCCTAAGACTTGGTGTTCTTTTCAACATTATAGTTGATCATCTTCACCATAATCTTTCCCTTCTCACTATCAATCAAGAACGAATCTATACCGTCTCTGACATTGATGCCATAGGCATCACGGTAGCTCCATCGCTCTGTGACCCATCCCCCATCTCCTTCTACCACAGTGCCCTCGATGGTATAAGCAGTGGTAGGCAACTTACTATTAAGCAGCCTAGCCGACTCCTTGATGCCCTCATGTCCAGTGAAGAATTCGTTGAAAGTGCCCATCAGCGACAGATGCAGGGAGCGAGAGTAGTTCCGCTTGATGTCCAGTGGAACGTCACCGATATAACGCAGCAGGATATGCTCCCAGTAGATGTCAGAGACAGAGCGATTCTCCTCACGAGGGAGGTCACCGGATATGAGATACTCTAGGACTTCCTCATTAGGCTTGCTCTTGGGATCCTTAACATTGTCCGAGATCTCTTTGAACTGCTCCCGGAGCCATTTCTCGCCTTGAGGCAGACGAGGGTCCGTCACGGTGAGATCGGGGTACTTCTCAATGAGCATCTCCGCAAGGTCGTAGTGACCGTTGTCAAGGAGGAGCTTGAAGATGGTGCAGCCTTCCTTATCACGAGCTGTGGGGCTCGCCCCATTCTCAAGGAGCTGCATCATGGCGGCTTCCTGGCCGGCTACGGCTGCCGCGAGCAGTGGAGTGACGCCGTCGTAAGATTCATTGACGTCGGCGCCGAGATAGATCAGGAACCTGATGATGTCGACGTTACCCTTGCGGGCTGCATTCACGAGAAGGCCGCAGGAACTGGTGGTGGTCACCTTGGTGCCGTTCTCAACCGAGTTGATAGATCTCGGGGAGGGAATTTGGCGGCTGATAAGGGCAGGCATTTTGCTTGTAAGTTTCGATAGTGGAAGAATTGGAATGGTGGATATAGTAATTTGCAGATACGTCTTGATTGTCGGTTATAGCAGTCTCATTTCGACGAGTTTTGCCTCGTACTTATAGCTTTGCTTCTTCCTACACGGATAGAAATGCCTCTGGTCTTGGAAGATCTCGACGGCATCGTTGATGCAATGACCTTCCAATCCCCGGTCAGTCCATTTGTTCTAGACAACGACGAAGAGACTCAAATTTCATTGATCAGAGTCTATGAAGTCAGCATTGAGGGTGAGTTTACACCCTCGCAGTGGCAATGATGGAAGTCTTTGACGCTTTCAGAAGAGCGCTGTGGCAGTCTTAGGGTCAATTACCATCTGAATGACACATATGAGCTGCAGTACCAGTTGAGAATGTCCTTAGGGTTGCACTCGGGCGTGTAGAAGATCATGGCTGGCTAAGTTCCAGACTGGGTCCACTGGATTATGAGACAATTTCAGACACTGCTGTTGAAAACGGAAGTAGTATTGAGGATCAACGGTCGAGACCTCATGGAGAATATCCCTATCAGAGGCCTCTCGTCCTCGATGTCATCGTCCAGCGCGGCTGTCAACGCATTTGTCCTCGTTTGAATGCTGCATGACCCCGATGGGGCATCATAGATCAGGGCTACATCACGACTTAACTCCACGGTATCTCTTGATGGAGACACTCAGTCTCCATCTGTTCTGCTTCCGGTCAGTGAAGCTGTCTTCGGATAATGGTCTACGCAATTGAGTGTAAAGTGTTGAGGTCTTCGCGTAATTGACCCTTCTGGCAAGGCTTTGGTGCCATGCTTCCTTCGTCTCAAGCGTTGACTAGACCACACTGGAGCTTTCTGAGGACAGACAGCCGGCCTGAAACCAGCTGTATCGTTTAGGGTCGATCCTCCCTATTGGCAAAGGATCAGAGTTGATGACTCCATGACCAATGCACAAGCCAGGTTCCATGCACTATAGCTCACTATCCAGTCCACTTTATCTTTTGCTCATGACGGACAAAGCAGACCACTTCGTAGGCTGGTAAGTTCGGTACGCCTCTGAGCGCTTACAGGGTGGATTCCGTCATTGGTAATGAAATAGTAAAGTATATCGTTCTTAAAGCTAACCATTCTATTTACGGTCCAGTCAGTTAGTTGATGCTACTCGCAATACGGCTTTCTTTGGTCGAGTATCTTGTAATAGACGCATTATTCATGTTTTATAGTTCCGAAAGCGTTTCAGGCTCGTGTTGGACCAGTTTTCAGTTAGATCAGGAGGCGGAAGGGAGTTCCCACGCTGTTGGATAATCCCCGTAGGGAATGGAAAGCAAGAAGGAAAAAAGGAGAACACGGAAACAGAAGTGCTGATGAAACTACAGAAGACAAAAAAAGTAATGCATCATCCGTGAATCGAACACGGGCCTCGTCGATGGCAACGACGAATTCTACCACTAGACCAATGATGCTACCAACTGAGCTATTTGATTGGCTGTTGTAGCTTCTGGCCTTTTTAGAATATAAGAGCACCGCTGTAACTGTTTGCCCGATGTCCTAGTGGACTGAAGATGTTGCACCAATTTGAATATATTGAAATCGATAAAGAGAGGATCTACTACTAACTGACTGTTATCCCGCTACAGGCCTACCGGCTATCTGCATATTATTGTAGGGAAGTATGCACCAGCAGAGGTTTTGCATAGTTGTATATATATAGTTCAGGAGACCCGCGTAACTCCGGACCTCCGAGGAGTTCATCTCACCTTCCCAGAAGGAGAATTTAAAAGCAAAAAAGATTGAACCTTGATTTTGATAAAGATGCATGAACAACGTGATAACTGAGTTGCCCAGAAAGGAATATGGTGTGCTTACTCGATTGTGAGCCAATCACAGCCGGTCGTAAGATCATGGTTAAGGGTATTAAAATAGAGCATTTTCAGCGGGGTACACAGGCGGTGACAGACTGCTTGATATTCATGACCCTATCTATCTCCAACATAATCACCCTTCTATGAATTAAATACATCTAGTACCGACCTGCTGAGTTCTGAATCAAATCTGTTGTTGACTATCGAGATGCCAGGCCTGGGTAAATCCAAGCATCGCTCATCCCGCGCTTGCACGGCCTGTCGGGCTAAGCATGTTCGATGCGATGCGGCTCTACCGCGATGCACTCGGTGCTTCGAGGAGGACAAAGACTGTGTATATGTCAAGTCGAGACGGGGAGGTCGTCGTCGGGTCTTGAGCACGCTTACTTCGCCAATGAATGAGGCGAAAATAGATCACGGATCGTTTACATCGATACTGCCAATCTTAACCGAGGCGGCGGCGCCCAGGGAAATGTACTCAAGCGTCGATCTGACTACCCCAACAGCAGATCCGAGCGATCCTGTGGATGACCAGCTGCTGTCATTGTATTATCGGTACTTTCATAGTGCGCACCCATGCGCAGTACCTCGATTTGCAATCCAGCGTTATGCGGACAGCGACCACCAGGCAATACAGCCGCTTTATGCGGTGATGAAGTACATCGGCTCCCTGCATAACACATTAATTCCATCATCGCAATTGAAAGATCACGTTGAGGCAGAACTGGCTGTCGTACGGAGCACCAACCATGTAGTCTCCCCGTTCGCTGTGCAGGCGGTACTTCTCTACTCCATTGCAATTTATTGGTGCGATGAAACGAGAAAAGGCCTGGAGCTGCTTGAGGAAGCCATCCGGATGGCCCTCGACCTTGGAATGAATCGATGTGACTTTCCCATGCAGCACGGGAGGAACGACCCGATCCTCGAGGAAAGCTGGCGACGCACTTGGTGGCAAATTTATATTACCGATGCGCATATTGCTGGAAGCACACACATGTATCCCTTCCGGACGACTGGGATACCTATGGATGTTCATCTGCCCTGCGAGGAGGAAGAGTATGAGTCCGGGGTAGGCGGTCCTTCTTCTAGTATGGTACCACGGCTGAGGTCATAGAATATTTCAAACCCACGAAAGCTGGAAGAATACGATATGCGAGAGTTTGCTGGTGATGAACGCGAGTTCTCTTCGTTTGCTGAGATGGTGGGCTTGACTCGAAGTTTGGACTTGGCCCTCGCCTCAAGAAAAGACCTGGATATGAAGAACATCAATACCGTCTGTGCTAACGTCGATGCGATCCACGTCTCATGGACGTCACTTTTGCCGCCGTCAAAGAAGACTGTTTTTAGACCCGACGGCTCCCTGGATGAGATTCTGTTCAAAGCACATGCTATTATTCACACGTGAGTCAATCTCCATTTGTTTGTGAGTCTCATTAATAATGCGTAGATGGATTGTCGACCTTCATCGGCAATTGTCAAACCTGGCTTATAGCGCCATCGAGGGTGTGTCATATTGTTGCCCACAGGCGCCGCCAGAGAGTCTCCTCCAAAGTAACTCGCCTGAAAGTGATCTTCACACGAGAAGAGTTCTCCACTCCATTGAGCGGTTCGAGTCCCTGTTGACCCTCCCAACCAACATCATCAGCCACACTCCGTTCATTATCTGCATGATTGCCGTTGTGACCATCGCCCATCTCTCCGCCTGCCGCTATGTCTTCAAGGGACAGGAGTTGCCACTGAATCGAGAGCGGATCAGAGTGACTATGGGAACTCTCAAGGCAATGGGAGAACACTGGTCTCTTGGCAAACGGACGTACCAAGAAATCAGTGTGATTGCACGAGAAATATTGTCACTGGACCGACCATTGCCCTCTCCGTCCGCTTCGCGAGAACCACAGCATACCACAACAGGTGTATCTGAAGTAATGACGGACATTTTTGCACTTGCATCGGATGTGTCTGTTGAGCCTTGGGACTTTTGCGATTTGTTTGACATTGACTATCATGAGGCGACTGTTCGGGACGCCCTGACTCATGATCTGGTCGTAGCTGAGTGCTGTATCTAAAACCGCTCAAAAGATTGATAGCTTTGGGTCTATTGACATCAAACAGCGTAGGAAGCTATACAGGCTATACGTCGATCCCTCTCATTTGATTGGCTCTGGTTAGTGATCAGACAGTTGTAACCCTAAACACATGTCCTTTAGGTTACACCCCGCGAAAGCAACTGGTAGGACATATCAAACTGTCATTGATCCGAAGCTGACTTAGATTGAAATCGACCGGAATTATCCGTCTGAAAGTTCGGCGTCTGACGTACGTAAAATACATTTCGTCCGAAGTGCTACAGACCATTATCCTATTGTGGGAGATCGGGTATCCGGGAACTCGGGGAGTCACCAATACCCGGCTGGCCCTATTGAGATCGCAACGTCAAGATTATTTTCGCTCTCTCTTCTGCCTAACTTTGAATTAATTATCTGTGAGTCATTGGCTGCTTGGCAGCCTTGGCTATCATCTGAACTCGTATTTGACCGGCAATCCGGGTATAGTGACAGCGGATGACGTACGTGCCCTTTTAAGATTATATAAAGCGTCATATTCCTCTTCCCAGGGCACCATCGACAATTGACAGTGGCACCTCGAAAATAGCACCAGAAGGACAAATCTGGCTTTTACCAAATGGCGCTTCCAAAAACAATGCGCGCCCTCCTGCAGCCCTCCTTCGAGGAACCCCGTCTGGTGCTCGCCCCAGACCACCCCGTTCCAACCGCCACAGAAGGAACAGACGAGCATCTCATCCAAGTACACTGCGTCAGCCCGTGCACCAACGAACTGAACTGGGCCAAGTTTTACCCTCCCCTCCAAGAACGCGAGCAAATCCCCTGCTACGATGTCGCGGGAACAGTAATCACCGCACCGCCATCCTCCGACTTCCAACCCGGTACAGAAGTCTACGCACGCTCAAACTATCTCCGACCCGGCTGCGCACGCGACTATGCCGTTATATCTGGCGCCGATCTCGCGCGCCGTCCGCAGAACCTGAGCTGGGTGGAGAGCACCGCCATTCCGCTGAGTGCGCAGACGGCGCTACAGGCGTTATTTGTGCAGTCTGGGATTGGGGAGCTGGGCGATGCTGCGTGGAAGGGAAAGAGGGTGCTTGTTACGGCTGCTTCTGGGGGTGTGGGGATCTGGGTGGTGCAGTTGGCGCGGCTGGCGGGTGCGACCGTGATTGGGACGTGTGGGCCGCGGAATGTAGAGTTTGTGAAGTCATTGGGAGCAAACGAGGTGATCAACTACCGGGAGAGAGATCTGAAGGAGTGGGGCAAGAGGCCGGAGAATCAGGTTGATCTGGTGGTTGACTGCATTGGAAAGAAGTCGTTGGAAGATGCGTGGTGGTGTGTCAAGGAGGGTGGGATCCTGATCAGTATCTTCCAGCCTCCGGAGCAGGTGCAGCCTGAGGAGTGTAAGGGAAAGAATGTCCGGAATTTCTTCTTCATTGTGTCTGCGAATCGAGCAGATCTGGAAAAGGTCACGAAGCTGGTGGAAGAGGGCAAGTGTCGGGGTGTCGTGGACAGTGTTTGGCCGCTGGAGCAGTTCGAGGAGGCCTTCAAGCGACTGGATGAAGGTCATGCTAGGGGGAAAATTATCCTGGATCTGTCCCTGAATCAGTAACTGAACTGCATTTAGCTATCGGGTTTCCGTCAAGAGGACGCTTTCTCAAAAATGTCCACTACGACCAATCTTCTTTCTCTGATCGCTATGTTGAAAAGGCTTGCCCTTCATATATTGGCCAAGGTCTTGAGTATCGAAGTCCGTCGCTGTCGTTACAACAAGTATGTTCTAAAAAATGTATTGAACGATGCCATTGATAATATCGGATGTATTTCGAGAGCAGAGAATTGAAATATGAAGAGACTGAACAAAAGGCTTCGCTACAAGATTTTCTTACAACCACTTGTCAACCTACGTTATCCAATCCCACATACCAGACTGATGAGACAACCAGAGTGGCTACCATAAAGCAGACAGATGTTTCCTTCTCATGCATGAAACTACCCACCAGGTCAATCGAGTTGAACCAGACCGCACTCAATGCAAGCAGCATCTCCGTGACAAGCTTCACCCATTTTGGCAGTGGGTAGTATGCGTAAACGGCTGACAAACATGCACAAGCCATGGTCATAGCCACACAGCAGTAGGATTGGCGCCATGGAGACTCGGACTTTGGTGAGACAGCTCTGCTTCCTCTCGCTACGATCTCATCGCCTTGGTATTGATATTGCAGGACTCGCGTGGCGAGAAGGTATTCCACCAGCACCGCCATGATGGGTAAGCGGAGGAAACCTTCAATGACGGGAATGTTATTCGCCTTGTTGTCGCGAAGGAGACGGACCACCAAACCGATCGCAGATGGCTCACCTGCCATACGAGCGAGATCAGACGCGGAGATCTCCATTGATTCAGCGCCGATCGTGTACTGCGCAAACTCGTGCTTATGCCAAATACCGACTAGACGGCCCTTTCCCTGATTGCGGAGCGTGAAGAGGGCACGGATACATAGAGAAAGTCCCACGACAACTGACAGCCAGAGCATTCCGTGGCCAACGACCCCCGATGGTGCCAGTCTTTGCGCTTTCAGCCCGCCGTACAACCATCCTGCGATGACAAGGGCCATTTCCAGAGCAGGCATGGCAAAGACTAACATAGTAGCCCACCAGGGGAGGGAAGAGGCGAGAACGTCGCCCGCCAACAAGAGCGATCCATCTGCCGTCTCGTACTGAAAAACAGCCTCATCAAGGCACAGCAACGACTGCAAGATATCGTTCCCATTGACGTTCTTGCCCCCCATTGTCGCAAGGGTCGGCCGCACGGTCATGAACCAGACCGCAAGTCCACGCCCCGTCGCTGCAGCCATGAGCCCAACAGCACAGGCCACAAGCAGATGCACAAGGAGATACATTCGCGTGGCGCAGACCATCCGCGCTCCACGGTCACTGCCGTAGGGGCTCGTCCACTTCCGCAGCTTCAAGAACGGCGTGAGTTTATGGTCCACGCTGGTGAATATCCACCCCCAAGAGAGTGTGGCCTCCGTAACCTGCAGTTCCTGTTGCTGCTCCTTGATATACGTACACCGTGACGCGCGCACATCTATCTTCGTCTCCATCTCTCGCACGATTTCCTCCGTTGTCGCTGGCGGCGATCGCTCCAGCATGTCCAGCGCGACAGCAAGGTCCGCCTCCTGCAGGGGAAATAGATTCTCGTTCGTTTCTTTGACCTTTGCGCCGCACAGGCTCTCGTGCCGAGGACATTTAATCCAATGTACCGTGCTCTCCTGAGAGGTTTGGTCTTTCAGCTGACATCCCACCACGAGAACCTGCCAGTCCCGGCCGGCGGCGAACGTTTCTATCTGCATAGCTACCCGGCGAACTAAGCCCTGCAAATCCTCGGGGGTGCGCCAGCACACCACGGCGATATCCGTGCGGACTTTGTTGGTGACCCAACCCGCGTGGAGAAACCAGTTGCCGCGGGCGAGCGCGTTGGTCATAGACCGGATTCGGAGGGCCATACGGACACTCGAGAACAGAGCCGTTCCTGCACTGGCGACCTTGCCGACATGCGCTGCTATGATGATGGCGCCCCAGAAGGCAATAATCTGGGAGGACCATGCAGCTGTGGAGGAGACGACATATTGTGCCGACACGGGGAGCGACTGCAGTAGCAGCACAAGAAGGTAAAAATTGCAATATGCCATCAAAATTACTACATAGCTGTTGCTATGGAACAAGATGTGAATTAGAGGGGACCACAGCGACTTATAATTACCTATCTGATGCGAGGCTGGGGCGGAGTCAGCCGCGGCTGCATATGGCGCTTCAAACTGGATAAAATAGCCGAATCCGAAGCTCACGAGGCTTCTCACCTGCAATGATCCAATCGTCAGTCAGAATTCAATGGGTAGAAAATTTTGCCAGTGATTGATCCGGCCACCTTATTATTCCACAGACATCTAGTATAGCTATATTCCCCTTTTATTAGCTACGGCACCATCTTACCACAAAGCTGCAGAGTGTCTTAACGAGTACTTCTGGCATAATACTGAACCGCAGTGATCATGAGTTTGACGAGGACCTTCAGCACAAGGATAGCATTGCTGAAATAGTTGTGCAATACGGTGTTCAACAGAATCCAAGCCTAGATCCATCCATGCAAACTAATCTGTGGTTTCTACCCATGCACCGCGCTTTTGAAGTCAGAAAAACAGGAACATAGATCTGGGATAGAACGATGCTGACCAGTTGTCATTGGCTAGCTTGACTCTCTTAAGTAGTGGACAGGAAAAGAAAATCGGCTTCTGTCAAAAGTGCTCATGATCTTATAGTTTAAGTCAGTTAAGAATTTAGCTTTGACCATTGAGCCATCATTTATAGCCCTAATAGCTAGTAATCTTTCTTTCATAATGGATAATCTGCTTGTTTCTCTTTCTGTGCTGGAATTAGCCTTTCCGGCACTAATATACACATGTACTGGCCACTAAGGAATTCAACAAGCCGGTTTCAACAAGCTGATCAGTGAATCATTTGGAACCGGGAGTTACCGGTGGCAGACAGTAGTTAAGACATATGTACTATGCAGCTGGCCCACTAGAGGCATCACCGATGTATCCCAAAGACTGAAAGTCTGGCAAACTCCGCAGCCCCCCGGGCCGCAACATACTCATCAGCTCCACCCACGATCTGTGGAACACTGCTAAATCCCTGGATAAAAACCTTGTCTACAACTGACCTAAATGTCTTATCGACCGCGCTCTCACCAAAGAGCACAACCCGATCAGGCATTCGAGAGCCGGGATACTTTCGTTTCCATTCCATCAGTCTCAAGGCCAGCCGAACCCAATAGCCCTCCTCATGTCGAGATGCATAACCCAACGTCCACTGGTCCTCATCATCCCAGAACCCAAGCACAATGTGAGCAGACTTGACTGTGGTGCGAAGTACCTTGACTGCATCCTCCGTATATAGGATGGAAATGACACTAGCCAGGGGCATTGCATCAATCTCAGACTCGCACGCATTGTAGTCTCGATAATCGGAGCAGAGAAAATGACCATAACCTGCTAACGCTGCTCCAGTATCCCGCACCCATGCCCATGAGCGCCTCTGGTGAATGTCTTCAGGGAATGGAAGATTGAGGTACTCAAATGCGTCGTGGATATCCTCCTCGTAGAGCGCAATAAGATGAGGGGTGGAGATGACGATGGGTAGTGTTGCCATGGGCACTGACAGCACATCTTCCACTTGGACCTTGAGCTGTCGAATCATGACGGCTAGGGCCCCGACGTCCCCTGACGCGGGGAGTCCAAGCCATTTGCGAAGGGAGCGAAGTTTTCTGCGAGGAAGGTCCTGGAATTGCTCAGGCGGTTTGACATACGGGGGGCTAGGTTAGATTAATTAGCTAGTGTTATACTATGTCATCCAAAGCAGAGATAGACAGACTGGAGGTGTGTGGATGAGTGCAATGATAAACGCTGAATGACCTCTTCATAGTGGGATGACCCTTCTATCCTTCCGATATTAATTATCGACCCGTTCGGAAAGCTTACAGCGGCCGTCCTGAGAGAAGCCATGGTTAATACCCCCTCATTTACTCTCATAGGGACAAAAGGAAATACCCATAGAATCCGGTCAAGTCTAACCCAATGCCTGGCGGCTCGGTTGTGACTGGAGGACTGGCCTTGCCATGGTTGGTGTCACTTTTAGAAAATAGGTGGAAATGAGTGCCTAGGGTAAGCACAAAGAGAACGAAGGTGATGGCGACAAATGGAGGAGTTGGCCTGAACCTCAAAGTCGGTACCATGACAGTCAGCAAATTGGCAGTGGAAGGTTGAAACTGTCAACTGGCGCAGGCACCGAGCGGAATATAAACGCAGGTAACCTCCGGCGCTAAATAGCCCAACCCCTCTCCCACTCTGCTGCTCTGGAAAACAGAGGTGGTAGGGACTGGAGTGCGTTTCCACTGTATTGTTTCAGCTCTTCAACTGCGAGATCCTTGTCATATACCACCCAGACGCCTGTCGCTGAATTTGTAAAGCGTCATATTGTTGCAACAAGGAGAATCCAGAAATGGAGAAAGACGACAATCACGAAAACTCTATGGCCAGAAACAATTTATGGGGTAGTGAACTATCTGCACAAGGCCCTACAAAAGTCTTAGCTGATACCCGTAGTTCGATATAGTCAGTCCTCAACGCAAGCCGCAACAGACAGTTGAGCCCGCAAAGCCATTAAAATCAACCTCCCCTTTTATCAGGGTCAATCAAGTGGAAGCGTCAACCTTCAAACATACTTTAATATAAAACTGTAGAAACAACCAGGCAATTACTATATTGAACTCTTAACTTGATGGGGAGTTGAGTTCACTTACATCCAAACATACACAATTTCTCAAGTTTGTGCAATATTATCCTGTAACTACTGAATGCTACTTACAGGCCCTGACGCTTGGGTCCTGGTAGAAGGTAATTGGATAATTTATTAAACAACTAAGACCCTTAAGGAGGTCAGCAGAAACAGAACTTTCGTGTGATGATTACAATGCTTACAGTGCTTATAAGCTTACAGTCTTTACGGAGCTTATAGTAATCATGATGCTTATAATGCTTGCGATCCTTGCAGTGCGTACAGTGATTACGATAATCCAGTGCTTAGATACTTACTGTGCTTACCATACGTCAAACAACAGGTGTTGCGTTAATCCCTTGACATATCCGGGGAAAGGGCCCAACCATTTTCAAAGGAGCAGGACATCTACAAATATATTTGTATACTGAGTGCTGCTGTATTCGTCTATATATGTAGATGTCCTAGCCGTGCCAGTTCACATAAAAATGTCCGTACAAATCTGTTCTTTGAGCGGGCCAGGATACACCTCCCCGATCTAGTCAAACAACTGACTATGCCCGCTCCGAGTTCAGCATCTCAAGATCAGAATCCACTTTGTAGCCCCCCTGCTTGTGCGACAAGAGCTTGCTTGGGTGGGAGACATTAAGGGTAATGCAGCATGCGAACATTAGTGCGGCATCAAAAACATAAATAAAGACCTCCTTGCTCTGAAGATACCCATCGCTTCCCTGCACATATTCGGCCACACGATAGACAGATCGAATCATAATGAGAACGCTAACCGTGTACAGAATCTTCATGTAGTGGCTCCATGGCAGCTCTGCGGACACCATGTGATGCATGGGCGTTGCAAGCATACGGCGATGGAATATCACCGAGACGATCATGAAAAAGCCGAAGAACAGAATCTGAACAAACAGACCACCGATGATCATATGTTCTCCCATCTTGACTCTGTCCTGGGTTTTGGCACCCGCAAGCAAGCCACCACCTGCGCAACCAATGCATCAGCTATAGTGTTCAATTGATATTTAGTACCCGTTTGAAGTCACTGCATACCTCCACACTGCATCAGAAAGGAGATAACGTCACCCGTCACAAAGACCTTGGTCAGCCAATTTGGACGGACCAACGAGAGGGAACCTGCGTTCAGCAGTCGAATGATCCGGCCCAGAACCATGTACACAGACGCGGCGAACAGTGCTGGAGCAAGGAGAAGCAACAGGCTCTGGCCTATATACGGCTTTGTCGTCCAGTCGGGGGTCTGCTTTGCACTTATGTATCTGCAGAGGTAGCCGATAGCCTCGACTATGATCAGCAAATGGTGTCAGCCTGTGTAAGCCATAGCAGCCACTAGCTTCGTGGCTAATGCCCTCGATCCAAACCACACATGAAGGGAATTACACACAGAAGCCACCGATAATGAAGGCAGTCATAAACCAAGCCCTGGCCTTTGCCATCTGCCAGATATGCACAACCGTTGTTAATCCGAAAACCGCAGCAAACGCAACAGCTGCACCTGCGGAAGGGTCGTAGTGGTAGAGCTTGAATGCCATCACTTCGATAACAAAAGAAAATGGACAAGCGAAAACCCGGATTGGAGGAGACCTGGGTGAAATACCGGGTCAAACAGCTTACTTACCGTCTTTGAATTTTGAATTTGATCGTCGAAGAGAGAAAAGGGCGGGTATGGAGACAAATATAAACCAGCGAAAGTCATCTACTGCTTCTGGTGCTCCACTCCAGATACTACGTATATCTCATTTCCTGTAGCTGCCTAGAATTCATGGCTTGGCTCGTCTGGTCTGAACTTCGTAGTAAACAAAATGCACGAAGCTACGTCGTACAATTTGCCAGTTCCACTTGCTTTTTACCGCCCTCCTCAAAGATCACTTTATATGCAGCAGAGGTAGCTAGATGACTCGAAACGGTCTGTGATACGAACTACGAGCAGTGGATCTCAGCTTTCCACCTCAAATGGGCTAACGCAAATTAGGAACCTCTATAAGTTGCCACCGAGACTATCTAGTCTACAAGTTCTTTTGTGGATCCGAGAAGCTCTTCCTTGTGTGCCCCAACAAAGTCGAAGTGTCCATGGAGCTTCCAAACCCACAATCCTCGGAGGACAAGAAGAAACGAAGTAAGAGCAGGAACAACTGGGTAAAGCAGGATTTCGCCCGTAGTTTGAACCAATATTAACTCATAGGGAGTAAATGTACAGGAGGATGTTGCATTATCAGTAATCCGACCACGCCTGGGCAATATTGATGCCTGTGCTGTGCATTGCAGGATCATAGGCTGATCCTTATTATGAGCACTTCGTGCCTGGGTGTGCGCAGAAAAAGCCTCTATGGCTGAAACTCGTAGCGCGCAACTACAATTTTCGCGTCCATCCACCCACCAGTGGTATGAACCAACATGCCCAAGAAGGTGAACAGTACGAATACGAGGACCCATTATGGTTGCTGATCTGGTGGGTGAGGGGCATCGGATTGGCTCCACTTAGATTGCGCCTTTAGGTCTCCCAAACAATTTTTTCCCATGGCTATCTATTACTATTTTAAGCGTCCCCAGCCCTCTGACGGACGTTATAGATTAGTGGCGTGATAGTTGTTAACCATCACCTCGTCCCTACTTCACATCTGAATGCAAGAAGGATACACTCTTCGCATACATTTTACCTTCTACTACTACGCAGTGCTTATGCTTGATAGTGAGGGACGAAAACGAAAACCATATACACTCGAGAGCAGGCCTATTTACTGTTCAAATAATAAACAGCAACTATCCAACATTATACACTAACACTATCCCCATCAACCTGAGTCATCTCTGGGCTTGATCCACGTCCAACATATCCATTCGTCACAGCTTGTGAAAACTCAGCATCTGGCATCATCCCGTGTGTAAGCTCCTCCAAGGACTTGATCCGTCCGTCCTTGTCTCGAACGTCAGGAATGAGGAAATATGTGATGAGTAGGCCCATGAGCATGAACAAAGATAGACTAGCCATTTGTCAGTGGAAATCACAACAAATCCTCTCCGAAAGGAGCCTACCAGAGAAGAGCATATCCCAACCAATTCGGTACGTTGGTATAGTCCTTCCCGTTCCCGAAATCCACATACGCCAGGAAACACTGCGCCAGGATAGAGCCGAGTTTGCCAAAGGCGGCCGCGATGCCGTGGCAGGTGCAGCGGAATCGAGTTGGAAAGAGTTCAGCAGGGAGCTGACGGTCAGCTTATATTTCTGAATTGGGGATATGGAGACTTACCATATAGGTTGTGGTGTTGGGTCCTAGACAGCGCGTTAGCAAGGTCAACGACATTGAGGTAGTAGTAAACTCACCAAAGTTGAAAAATATCTGGCAGAGAATATACAACACCACCAACGCCGATGGATCATCTTGTTTTACCAAATGCTGAAACGACGCGCCAATAACCACATTCAGCAAAAATAGCCAGAAGAATCCGTTCAGTTGGATATTGCGCCGACCCAGTTTATCGATCGTCAGGATTGACAGCAGACTACCCACGATAGCGCCTGAGGAAACAACAACAATACTCTGATACGCTGTCTGGAAGAGTAGCTGATACAAACTAGTCCGGGGCAGCTTGCTTCCGAACCAGATCGTTCGAGTGATCCGCGGACTGATGAGCCCTAGGCCATAGAAGGGGAGGTCGAGACAGAACCAGCAGAGGGATGTGGCGGCCAGTTTTCTGAAGTTGTCCTTCTGCCTGAGGAAGAGTTTGAAGTCTTTCCAGATTGCCAATGGGGAGATGGCATCCTGTTCCTCAAATGGGGCAGCAGACGCAGGCTGGTCGGGCTGTTGGTCTGCTGATTGGGTGGGCGATAGTCGGAATGAACCTGACTGTGGAGAGGCTGGTTCTACGCTGTTCACTGATGCACTGTCAATGCTAACACGGTGATAGAATTGCGAGACGTCATTGACGGCCTGAAGACTATCTTTGGTGACTTCTGCTGTATAGCGGGGGGACTCGATGATCGTGAGTCGGAACCACAGTGCGATGAAGGCGGGCACTGCTCCTAGTCCGACGAGCAGCCGCCAGATGGTGTCAAGACTTCGGATACAGTTTCCTGTACATGTGGTCGTATTAGGGTCGGTGGGGAGACGGTGTTGGAAGCCCGCCACCGCGATGAGAGCAACCAGTTGCGCAGCAAGCTGTCCGAGGGACTGACAAAAGAAGACCGTTGCAAGTAGTCGCCCACGTAGTCGAGTCGGCGCAAATCTGAGATCGTCAGCTACGCTTACGAGATGCCGAAGAGGATCTTACTCTGAACAAATGACTGCAGACAGAGGATAATCCCCACCCAATCCAATCCCGAGCAGTCCACGCCAAAATAAGAAAAGGGCGATAGCAGACATGGAGTTCTCGGCCCCTGAAGACGATAATGCCAGTCCCAGAGTGGCAAAGATCAGAATAGCCAACTCCATGCCGTACATCTTGCTTCGTCCCCAGACATCCGCAGCGACGCCAAAGGCGATCTGGCCAAGAAGAACACCGCCTAGAGTGACTATACTGAGAGCCACCTCATAGTCATGCCGGACTGCATTGGCCTCGGTCCAGTTTGAATGGTTCCAATAGACAATGTTCATCATGGGTAGAACCATGTTGACAGAGAAGATCTGCAAAGTCAGTTGATGAATCCTGTCCAATGGGTGCCGTCACGTACACCGTATGCATCAGTGAAGAAGCCGAGCCCTGCTACGACGACGATCCACATCCATTCCCGTCGTCGAGCGCTTTCGAGTCTACCGATGATGTAGGCATGTCTTTGAGCGGGCTGTTCTTACGGTTAGCAACTGATGCGTGGCTAAGCTTTTGTATCCATGGACCCTCACCGTATGGTGCCGGAAGTCCTGATATCCCTTCCATGGGTAGAATCGCAGACCCAGAGCGGCTAAGCGAGGATATCGCATATTGCTTGTTAGTGTATTACAACTTAAGAGAGTAAGTCAGGATTCAAGAAGGCAAAGACACAGTTTCTTCTACGCTGCCTACTGACAGCCATCCTGCCCCTAAATCATTATCAAACGAGGCTGACGACCCTTCTTCAGAGTCAGAGAGCCTCATACTTTTGGAAGGAGTTTGCCCAGGCAAAAATACGAACAACGGGCAACAGCCACACAATTTCCCATATCAAAATCCAGGGGCGGAGTCGACTTGAATGTGCCCTGTGGACCACGAGGCCGGCAGCCCTGCACAGACCCGAGACATCTGTCAAACTGCAACTCGAGACGATAGGCTAGATATGAATGACTGAATCTAAATGTTCGAAGGTCTTCGCCAAAGACACTGTTGGAATGATGCACGTTGTGTAGACGACGGCGGCTATTGGGCCGGGAGCACGAAGCCGTCGGTGCTAGTCTAGTCCCCTTGGCGCCACCACGTGTGATGGATGACCATGTATATGATGATTGCCTTTCACTGCCACAAAGCGTCCATTGACGCGCTGCTGACGAGGCATGTATTCGCCGCCCGTGGGAGACAGGCGTATTTTGAGCCGCTAGCCTGTCAATGGTTGGGCAAGGCTATCAGAAAGGGTGGGGACCAGTTCGCGTGTCGTTTCTCCCCATGGCCCATGCTCCATCTTCAAGTTCCACTTTTGCTGATCCATGGATGCAATCTGATCCTCTTCGGCATTACTACCTTGTGAAAGTCTGAGCTTTTACTTAACTATCGACGTTATACGGGATGAGCTTCGGCTGGAGCGCCGGAGATGTGTTACAAGCTGCCAAGATCGCCTGGGATGTCTACAAGTGTATCGCTGACGGAACTCAAAATGCAAAGGTTGATTTCACACAGTTCAAAGCAGAGTTTGAGTTGATGAGAGCAACCATCAAAGAGTTACAAGAGGCAGAGAATGAGGTCCCCGTGTCCAAGAGGGTCGCCCTCGGTCAGTCGTATCAGCAAACTATCATCGAATGCACCGATTTCGTCAAGAAGCACCAAAGGCTAGCGCGCGATATACATTCAGGCGGATCCAAAGAACCGTTACAATGGCACAAAGTCTCGGACAGAGTCAAGACGCTTTTCCACCAAGTTTCGTGGCCGATAGAACGCAAAGAAGCCGAACGACTGCGCCGCGCGCTTGAGCGGAATGTCCAGCTAGCGAACTTGATGGCAACCAATACCGTGATTGATATACAGAAACAGAATAGGCAGGAGAATCTGGAAATTCTGCGTGCAATTAAGTATACTGAAGACAACTCCGCCATAGATCCCGGACTATGACTGACTGAGCTTACAGAATCATGAGCCTACAGATATCGTTCATCCTCCGCCAATGCATGCCTGGACATAGTTCTAACAACAGGGACAATACTCTGGAAAGCCGGCTGTTGTCCGAACTTGGTCAGCGAGCTCTACCACGGTTACGAGATACGGAACAGCTGCCGCCGTTGCTGGAGTTTCCTGGCACAAGGTCCGACGAGCGGGAGTCGAAACCCCTTCTTCGCATCCAAGATGTCTCCCAGAAGCTAGAGCACCTTATCATGCGTCGTGATATGCCCGTCGTCGGCTTCCTAGACCAGATCCGAGCGGATATTCGTGGCGCCTTGAATCAGGCTGGGTTCAAACATGTCACCGTTCCTGGTCAACTGGCGTTGAATGCACCTACTAAACCCAAAGAGCCTGCGCGAATTTTGAACAAGGAGATTGATGAATGGGAAAAATTCAGCGACTGGGTTAAATTTCAGCTCCTGCACCAAGAGCGCGCGATCACCCCGGCAGGGAGGGAACACTCGACACATGATAATGACCCTCCCGGGGAACCACCACCTACGCCTCCACTGGATGCGCCCATCAGTACTCGCTACCGGTGCACGAGAGTAGAGACCCAATGTCCTGTAGTGATGTAAGTGCTCAGTCAGGAGGTATAGGTGTAATTGCGGCTTGCTTATATAGACACAGGCATTTTCCGGATCCGAATCTCAAGAACCATGAATTACACAAACCGGTTAAATGCACAATAACTGTCTACCTACATCACCGTACCCGCGATGTTGGCTTCATTGAGGCAACAGATGTGACTGGCGCCGTGAAGCTAACTCATCGAATACACGAACCCACATTCCGAGGAGCCCAGAGCTCCATGATTCCATATATCGAGAGTGCTCATGTTGTCAACGACCCGACCAGTCCGTTTAGGATATGCTTTCAGGGGTCTCACCGTGTTAAGATTGAAACGAATGGTGCTGCCGAAAGATATGCCATCTCGCCGGTATATATCTGTCGGAAGAAGGGTGGTGAGTACCACTATTGCATTTGGGACGACAGCCCCTAATCGGATCCAGACTTTGTTGCTTTCCAGAGCATACTCCTGGGGAGAAATATTCTCTACTGCGGGGACGTCAAATATATCAACGCCGATGGCGTCGAGGAACACTGCTCGCTTGAGACCATTCGTGTCCTTCAGGACCCGCTCACGTCAGCGCGGAGCTTACTCTACTTTGGCAAACTCAAGCCAGGCTCGAATGCAAAGATGGGCTTTTTGGAATGGCCTTGTATGTACCATGCCTTTAGGAGCTGTCGAATCTGCTGTGCAGTTACTAAATATGACAGTGGACGGATTCGTTGAACTTAAGTACTCGAAGCTATCAACCAGGCTTCAACTGCAGGGAGGGGCCATCACGAGACGGAACTCTATGGGAAGTATCGGCAGCATGTTGTCGAACGATTCACGCCACTCAACCATGTCAATGTCGAGTTCAGGTCGCCACATAAGACAGTTGGCAATTGTCTTTCATGACGAGAAAGGTATGTTGGTTTTCATGCAGGTTCGTTATGGATTGTTGACATTTGATAGATTGTGAAGCATTCCGTAACACACTTCGGCAATAATGAAGGGAAACAATGAGCGCTTCTCCTATTAGAACCCGCAACTGAATAGTGCTATATCTCATGCATAATAGGTAATAATTTCAATACTACAGCTGACAAGGATATTTGACCAATATAGCAACCCACCGCCCTTGAACAAGGAGGACTCGGAGTCTAATTATCTGCAATCATCTGCAATCGTAGGCCTCGAACATTGGGTGCCAAAAGAGTCATTGGTGGATGAAATGTAGAGCTGAGAGATTATCTTTAAAGCATCTCAGAACACCCAACGTTTCACCGACTTTACATAGCTCAAACTCCACCACCTCCCCCAGCTCCAATGGGAGAACAGGCCGAGCCGCACCCTAGTTGAAAGGCTGCTGTTAGTTTAGCACAGCCGTCCGCACTGCAGACATAATCGGCAGCGCATGTGCAGGCCCCAGGCACGAAATCAGATGATCTGCAAAAGCATCCAATGTCCAAGACGCCTCCGGTACAGGCGGGAGTTGCTGCAATGGCGCGATTGATACATTCGAACTGGTAGACCCTCATTAGTCCGTCCTTAGGTATACAAGAGGGCTGGGGATTGCGTACCGAACAAGTCGGTGCTCCCATGAGTTGGAAGTAAAGAGCAACTAGATTTGGAAAGGGCAGGGGATTGACTTCCAGGGGTCTTCCCACGACTGCGACTGGTCATGCAAGGGCAGCAGCAGAAAGAAGAGGACACGGAACAAGGTGGCAAACCATCTGCATTGATGCTACCGTTGCAGGGTTGTTTTCACAAGCCCCTGGTAGATATTTAACAGGTCGCGTGCCTTGTCATACTACGTGCATCCATCATGGAATTTTTGAATCCTCTTTATTTCAAATTAAGACTATAGCTTCACTGTCATGATCTCAATCCCAACAGCCTTCACAAATACATCTCTGTACTAAACCCACGAGTGCAGCAGTAGCATACTCAGAGTCACAGTCACCAACATATTGACCAGGACACTGACCACTACAATGACACCTACCATATCCGTGACAGCAATCATTTTGACTCGGTATACTTGCTCTCAGGAACTGTCCAACGCTCAGGAATCAGCGTCTCATCTCACTGTGTTACAACAAGAAGTACAACCACATTCGATATATGTAGGACTGTAAGGTATGACAACATAATGTACAGTTTACAATGGTTCTAACCTCTTATTTTGGGGGTACAACTACCGACGGTTTTTAACAACCGACAGAGTGCTAAGTTTTCCAATTAAGTATTCAACGAACCGAGGTTGTACGACGTCAATTACTTATGATTCAAACGATGCATAGGCAACATGTGGTACCAAATTACCAGTAGCACTTTGCCTGGCCCAGCGGACGGATTGTCGGGCCACTGTATTCTCCGAGCCTTGTTCTAGCTCTCGGTCGACTGCCTGATAGAGCTTCAATCCTCAAGCACATATACATTGTATCTCTCGCGCTCTCTCGCGCTGTGCTAATCGATATACATACATGAATCAGCTGAACAGGACCTCCCTAGTCAGTAACATGCGGCTTTGGGCTACATTCAGACAGTCCAGCTATCCGAAATAGAAATTCCGAATTCCTCTGACCAGGCCCGCCTGGTTCGAAGAAATCATGGCTATTCCATCACGCACCAGGGTAAAATATGATGTTCAGGTACGGGCTAGGATGTATCTCAAGTAATTCAGGATCCTACGGGGAAGCGTTCAACAATCGTATATTGAAGCTGTCGAATCATGATTTGACAATCCGGATAACTTCAGTTTAGCCAGCCTCGTGTTATTTTCGCGTAATTACTTGAGCAGCTGATGTTATCCTACTAAATTTTGCTCCAGTATTGGAAGGCGTTTTAAACCCACAGACAACAGAACTGTCAAACCTAGTTGTCAGACCACGCGATTCTAGCACGGTAGAAATCTCCACAATTGTTGAGTCCTTAATTAGACAACTATAGCTAAGAATAGCTTCGGATTTCAACGTAAGACATGTATCTGCCAATGGGTATGGTAGTTGTGAGTCAGCCAAGACACTCAGAAAGAAACTAGACTCGCCAAGGGATTAGGCGAATCACCAGCCGTGGTATACACAGCTCGCGATTTTATATCCTCTAAATTTCAGATACAAATAAGATGCCTGAGAAGCGTACTGGGGTTTGAGTGACGCAGTTCCTTCGATATGCGACAAATGAGGCAGTGGTTGAGGATGACCGAATGCGGCCACACCGGATGCGGTTGACCTTTTATACTCCGACAACCACCACTTTCAACAGGAGATGAAGACTGTCTTCTCATTTTCAACTCCATTATTGTATCTTGTGGACGCGTTTACTCATGTGATAACTATGGTCGTCCGCGCTATGCGTCATACCGGCCACCGTCGACCACTTTTCACCACAATCATTATTCTCTCCATCCTATGCTTCGTCTGGCTTCTAAAGCAGTCGTACGCTTCTCTATCCTGGCGGGAGGAGTCTCCCAGCTTCTCAACCAATCGAATAGCCAAGGTGTCGATGCTGTACGGGAAACCCAACCGGCTATACGAGAGAGCGCTGCAGAGTCACAGCCGCCACGCAAAAAGATGGGGATATTCTATGCATATTCTGCGACAGGATATCTCCGTTGGGTTCTGGAATAAACCGAGCTATTTATTGTCGTTGGTGATTAATGAACTAGCCAAACCTCCGGGGGAGAGGGTAGACTGGTTGATGTATGCCTACCATACCAGGCTGGAGAGAGTGTATGTACTGACTGCGACAGGTGGGTTGACGCTGACTCGATTATTCTCAACGGTGCGGTGCCCGCTGAGATTTTTCTCCCCCCTTCCGATCTTGATAATATCCACTTCGTCGCGACGAAAGATCACAACGGCCTCAACACAGGGATTATCTTCCTGCATGTCCACCCATGGACCATCAACATGCTCGTCGAGAGTCTCGCTTACCCTCAGTATTTCCCTAACGAGAATCTGGGCCGCTCTGTAGATCAGGAAAGCATGGCACGGGTGCTCAATAAAACAGCCGGCGGGCCCGAAGGACATGGATATAAGGATGGCAGGGTCTATCTACCGCGCACATGGATCAACACGTATGAATGGACGCACGCTTATGAAGGCAAAAAGGGCAATTTGCTGGTACATTTCCCCGGTCTTGAGGAACAGCGATGGTCGCATATGTCTAAGTGGTTGGATATCATTGAAATAAGGCCGGGAGAGTGGGAGGTTCCATTGGAGAAAACGGAGTATTTGAACCAGACTACGGCATTCTGGGCAAGGCTACGAACAGCAAGGGAGACCATCACATTGATGGAAGAAAAGGTTGGTCTGATGCCAAATGGGACTATACGTCAGATTGACGAGGTGCAAAAGACGCAGATGGCAATTGGCGAGTTGAAGAGAGTGTTGCAAGAGGAGGCCGACAATGTTGAAGTGGTCCAACAACGCCTGCAGGAGTTGAACGCCATCAAGGAATCAGTCCCAGTTTGATCCGGCTCTTTTACCAGGATAATCATCTAAGATAAGATCTATTTCCTCACGCAGATTGCCAATCCCTTTTTCAAGCCTCATGTTCCGCTGGAGCCGAGAGTGCGAACACCTTCCGCTTTCGGAGAACATGACGGTATACCCTTATCGCTGGTCCACCGCCAAATATTTCAAGGCTATTAGATTAGTCAATAATCCCATCTCACTTAGGGCTAGTGCATAAACTAATATTATTTGGGAGGACTTTATACAATACAAGGCAATCGAAGCGTTCGAGAAAGTCTGGCAGATATACTTGGGCAACATCATGTCCAAGCACTTGTATCATCATGATGACTTAGTCCAGGATGTATGCTTTAGCAGACAGGTACCATTACATGTCACTAACAATCAACGACAAGCAATAATATATCCATGGTCCACTGGCCATTGTTTTCTCGGCTGCTCCACTCGGAGGTGCCTGGCCTTATCGTTAGTTACCAGCCAATGGTAATCGCTATCGCCCGACACATGCTAGCCCAAGCTTAACCGAAGCTTTACCAAGTCATGAATCTTGGATACGAGCTCACTAGCCCTTCCCTGTTAGTCTTGGCCAATTGCTGATCTTGGCAACTGCACGTGTGACTCGCTTTTTGACAACGGTCTTCCGTCGGAGATTGCGTCTCCCAAGACATTGCCAGGCAGCCGGATTGATTTAAATCAGTCGATCGCTTCGATGGATCAAAAATCCGTCAGGCGATCAACGCTCTTCATTGAGATACCAAAATGAAGACAACCACCGCTTCGGCTCTGCTTGTCGCCCTTACTGCGACGGCCGCTCAGGCCCGTCCCGTGGTGGACGAGAGCTATCCGTACACCGGTCCGGCCGTTCCCGTCGGCGATTGGGTCAATCCTACCGTCAATGGCAACGGAAAGGGATTCCCCCGTCTGGTGGAACCTCCTGCCGTGAAGCCTGCGACTGCGAAGCCCAAGAACAATGTCAATGTGATTTCGCTGTCCTATTTGCCCGATGGTATGCACATCCACTACCAGACGCCGTTCGGACTGGGTGCGACGCCTTCTGTGAAATGGGGCAAGAATCCCAAGCACCTCGATCAAGTCGCTCATGGATATACTCACACGTATGTTCTTGCCACTGAATTAGGAAATTGATGCTAAAATTCCTATAGTTATGACCGCACGCCATCGTGCTCCGAAGTCAAGGCCGTTACTCAGTGCAGCCAGTTCTTCCACGAAGTCAGCCTCGACAAGCTTGAATCCGGAACAACGTACTACTACCAGATTCCTGCCGCCAATGGCACCACTCAGTCTGAAGTCCTGAGCTTCAAGACTGCTCAGCGCGCGGGAGATCGCCGTCCGTTCAGTGTCGCCGTTCTGAATGACATGGGCTACACCAATGCAGGGGGCTCGTTCAAGCAGCTCGTCAAGGCCGCCAACGAGGGCACTGCGTTTGCCTGGCACGGCGGTGACATCAGGTAATACCTCCTTCGTTCTATTTTGTTAACAGCGACTAAAAATGCGCAAACAGCTACGCCGACGATTGGTATTCGGGTATTCTGCCTTGCACCGATGACTGGCCCGTCTGCTACAATGGCACTAGCACTGAGCTGCCGGGTGGAGGCCCCGTCCCGAACGAGTACAAAAAGCCTTTGCCGGCGGGCGAGGTCCCCAACCAGGGTGGTCCCCAGGGAGGCGATATGAGTGTCCTTTACGAGTCCAACTGGGATCTGTGGCAGCAGTGGCTGGGAAATGTCACGCTAAAGATGCCCTACATGGTTTTGCCCGGTAACCACGAGGCTGCGTGTGCCGAGTTCGACGGTCCCGGCAACGAGTTGACTGCATATCTGAACAAGGGCATCTCGAACGGCACTGCTCCCAAGGCCAACTTGACCTACTACTCCTGCCCTCCCTCCCAACGGTAAGATCCGTCCCCCGCAGTCCCTGGCCCCAGCTAACCCAGACAGTAACTTCACCGCGTACCAGCACCGCTTCCGCATGCCGGGCCCTGAGACCGGCGGCGTCGGCAACTTCTGGTACTCGTTTGATTATGGCCTTGCTCATTTCATCTCCATGGACGGCGAGACCGACTTCGCCAACAGCCCCGAGTGGCCGTTCCACGAGGATATCAAGGGCAACGAGACCCACCCCAAGGCCTCAGAGACCCGTCTCACCGACAGCGGTCCCTTTGGCGCCGTCGACGGCAGCTACAAGGATACCAAGTCCTACGCGCAGTACAAGTGGCTGAAGAAAGATCTCGCCAGCGTCGACCGCAAGAAGACCCCCTGGGTGTTTGTCATGAGCCACCGGCCCATGTACAGCTCCGCATACTCGGGCTACCAGAAGAATCTCCGTGCTGCCTTTGAGCAATTGTTCCTGCAGTATGGTGTCGATGCTTATCTGTCTGGGTATGTCGATCCTTCTCACCGTCAACGCAGATACTAACGGACTGCAGACACATCCACTGGTACGAGCGCATGTATCCCCTCGGCGCCAACGGAACCATCGATTCGGCGTCGATTGTCAACAACCACACTTACCGCACCAACCCCGGCAAATCCATCACCCACCTCGTTAACGGAATGGCTGGCAACATTGAGAGCCACAGCGAGTTCAGCAAGGGCCAGGGCCTCCAGAATATCACTGCCTTGCTGGACACCACGCACTTTGGTATCAGTAAGCTAACTGTGCTAAGTGAGAAGGAAGTCAAGTGGGAGTTTATCCGCGGTGATGATGGGTCCATTGGCGATCATTTGACCCTGCGTAAGGAGAAGGCACAGACACACTGTAAGGCCAATTAGGTGCTGGTTGAAGAGGTATAATCTGTGGGAGCTGTATATAAATTAGTAGCCTTTGTGTACCTTGATGTAGTGAAAAGTGTATAATCATAGTGAAGATTATAATAAACCAATCTATGCAGCTGTGATGCTGCCCCATTGACAGGAACTGGCTTTTCAACCTTCCATGGGCGACCATGAAGCTCGCCAAACTTCCTAAACCGTGATTTCTCGGAGTTATTATTACCCTTCCTTGCCGTGTGTCGGCTCGTAACCCTTACATGCTAGAACGGATATCATAGGCGTCTTTTGGATTAATTAAATATACATGATCACTGACAGCATTGATACCCTTAGCTTCCACCTGCAAGTAACCAGGAGCATGAATCCCAATGTCTTCAGCCCAATTATCCTTGGCCCCTTCAAGATATTGATCACCAACAGTGTCATGTCCAACCTATACAATTCAGTCAGTCAAAATATCCCATTTTCCCTCTCTTTCGTCTGCAGGTGGCGCAAGATAATCCATCTTCAGCATTCGTTCCTAGCGAGAAAAAACCGCATTAGTAAATATCAATAAAGTCATCGCGCTTCCTGTCGACTTGAATCCATACTTCTCCTACTGTTCTCTACTTACCTAGTGCTAGTGAAGTTTCAACGTCGGATAATAATTTCCAGGTGTAGTCGCATTTGTGGTACCATTCCAACAGTAGTTCCTGAAACAAGTCGAGCAGACATCCGGGATGGTTGTATTTGTACGTTCAAAGCTCCGACTTAATATAGCGCAAGCAAGACAAGAGGGCCAGTTGGAGTCCAGTGTTCCATTTCCCAGTGTTGCCACATCGTAGCCATTCTCGATGATGGCATTGCGTTCACTGGTATTGTATTGAAGATCGAATGTGGACACGTTTGACAGGTATATATAAGGGGCGTTAGGAATATAAACGACGAGAGGGGCGGAGCCAGTGATGTTTGAGCTGTTGCAGCCAAAGAATGTCGGGCGGTTGTTCAACCCAAGGTTGACGAATGTGTTCTGATCAGGCACAGAGGGAAAAGCCAGGCTACTGTTCGTTCGTGAAGACTGTACATTCCGTTCATAAGTGGCGACCATGGATGTTCCGTTGGGCCACCTTGAGGTGGTGTCGGCTGACGAGTCGAGAGCCAAAATCACGTCAACGTGGCGCTGGGGCTGCAGAAGGGGATCTAGCGGGATGTTCTGGAGATCTTCTCCGCCGTCAACCAAGGTCAATGAGGGAGAGGTTGTGTATTGGGACGAGCTCGCATAGCGATAGAAAGGGTTAGGCTTGTAGACGGCAATATCATTGTTCTCGGACCCAATTGTCCCCAGAATGCCACTAATTGCGTTCGTCACGGCTGCAGGCGCGCCGGTATCGTTTATGTGGAGGAATGCTTGATTGAACAGGGATGACGATGTGCCCATGATGAACCCGGCGTTATCGAATCCTCGAACACATTTTTCGCCTGTCGGTAGTGTCCCCCTTGAGAAATTTGATCCCAGGAATTCTAGAGAGACAAAGGCGGACAGCGATGCGTCCCAGCTCCCAAATTCCCAAGGGTTAAACTCGAACACCGTAGTGTTCGCGGGTACTAGAATCTGTCCTGGAGCTCGACCATCGGCGATAACCAAGGGCATGGGCACCGTTCCAGCCTGGAAGTCCTTGCTCAGAGCAATCGACGACCAGGTATAACTGACACCACCTTCAGACGCGTTGATGAGTTGGTAAGAGAGAGAGCGACCCCTGATTTATGATGGTGAGCTTTGCTTTCTTTCTTCAGAGGGGCACAGGCAACAGAAGCATACCAGTAATCTGTGATAGACACCTCATACCCGGCGTCTGATTTCCCACCCACCGCACTCAACAACTGTGAATAGTACTTCGCCGTGCTGATGCCCCATTCGGTACTTTGAGTTGGACCACTGAAGATAGAATCCTGAAACTGCCACACAGAACCATTGTCCCGCAGCGAGGATACATCGGAAAAATTGTTCATATAGATCGACCCAACCAACCAACTTCCACCACTCAGGCCTGAAAGATAAGTCGCCGACTGTAGGATACCTCCCACCTGGCCTTTGAGAGTTGAGTTCGTGGTCCGATTGTCAAACGCCTGCAGTGCACCCCCGCCGTTCATCAAGGCTCGATAGCCACCGCCAGACACTGCAATTCCGATATTGGGCAAGGTAGACGCGTTAGCTGAATGTTTATC